CTCGATCCCAGGACCCTGGGATCATGACCTGAGCTGAAGGCAGTCGCTTAACCAACTGAGCCACCCAGGCGCCCTCCTTTTTTAATTTTTAAAAAATTTATTTTCAACTACTCTCTACACTCAACGTGAGTCTTGAACTCACAACCTTGAGATCAAGAGTTGCACTCTCTACCGACTGAGCCAGTGAGGCGCCCCTTCCTCCCCTAATTTTTGATAGTATTTGAGAATATAAATCTCCATAGTTTCCTCTAAAAAAATACATACTGTCTTTTTACAACTGCTGTATTTTAGGTTAGTCACAGAGACAGTTCAGTTACATTTTTGGTTAGGCCTGAACTGGTCTGAAGCCTGAGTTTGAGATCTGAAGAAACACTAGTCCTCCAGGTCAGCACAGGGACAGACAGAAGAGCCAAAGGGAATTTCATCTGAAGATGTTGTGTATCATACACATCTGATCCCAGTATCAAAGATTGAGCCGTTTCCACACTAGTCATTCTATAGGCAGATATATAAGTAAATCTTACTGATCTTCCCAGTTCTGACCATTTCCCATCAAATTTAAATGGTTGAGAAAAAGGTAAACCACCACTTACAGTTTCTTTGAAGGAGGAGTTTAGCCAGCGATTATTTACTACATTCTGTATGGATGTGGGTGGGTTTTCTAAATCTTCAAAGGAATCCATTAATATAAAATCCAGAACAACATCATAAAAATTTAGATTTTTCACCTGCATTAAATTATGAGTTAAAACACAAATTATTGTTACATAGAGCTGAAATAAAGTCTGAACCAGGGCTTCATGCTTTATAAGAGCAGGGTGTTTATAGTTGACTCAGATTATATCCCTGACGAAAAAAGGGGAAGAGGAGAGACAAATATGAAAACAACTCATCACCAGAAACTGTAATTCACGTAACAGCTCTTTCTTCCTAGATCCCTTAATCTCTCCTTCACTGCATTCTAGGAGTCCTTTGTCTATGCTTTGCTTATGGTATCCACCATGCTCCATCTGCTTTGTTCTATAGCTCCTGGGATATCTGTCTATCTTCCCCACCACATCATGAGCCTCTTGCTCCTTCATTCAGTCATGCATATCATGTTGTATTACATGCTGTACCAGATGCTCAGACCTCCATGGCAACCAAATGAGATGCTTAGAATTTAGTGGGAAAACAAACAGCAACAAATAATCCCACAAATACACAATTATAAACTGTGATAAACCCAGTAAAGGAAAAAGGACATGGGACTATGAGAGCTTATGATGGAGATTCTAATCTAGACTAAATGTCAGAGAGGGCTTTCTTTAGGGAGTGAGGCATCCCAGGTACGGGAAATACCTGTCAAAGTGTTTCAGGTAAGAAGGAACACAGTGGTGTTGAGTTGAAGAAAACCATCGAAAGTGTGCTGTAGCCTCTATAGCAAAGGGCACAGGGGCAAGGGGCTGGAAACAAGGAGGAAGGGCTAGGTCCATGTCTCTAGTTTTGGATTTTATCCAATATTTTGGAGCGGCAGTGGTAGAGGGGAGATGCATGATCAGATTTGCATTTTTTAGAGACTGTTTGGCAGCAGTGTAGAGATTGGAATGGAGAGGAGAGAGGGTGACTGGGTAGAGGGATGAGTAGCCAGAGAATCTGGCAATGCAAAGACTCTGAGGCAATCCAGGGAGAGAGAGTAGTTACTCAGGCTCAGCGATGCTGGCAGGATTAGAGAGAAGATGAAGAAACTAAAAAGACTGACAAAACTCAGACATAAATATGATATGGTAGGCAAGGACCAGGAGGTGTAAAGGATGAGTCCCAGGTTTCTGGCCTGCACAACTGAATGGATACCAATCCCTCCACCAAGTGAGGGAACACCAAAAAAAGAAAGATTATGTCTCTCTGCCTTTGTACCTACTATTTTCTCTGCCTAGAAAGCCTTTCAGCCCCTTGCAAATTCATTCTTTAAGCTTCTGTTACAACAGAATGTTCCAGCCTCATTATGTACTTCCCCTATCGCAGTGCTGAAATCAGCCATTTTTCCAAGGAGTCCTAGGTTCCTTTTAGTGAACAGTGGTACTTAGAAGCAAACCTCCGTGTGCTAGGAGTAATTTTTTTTGAGGTGTTGCTGCTCCCAGACTCTCAGTGAACAGAACTAGGAAGTATTCATATGCTTCTAAATATGTAAACCTTTATATTTATTTCTACATCTTTATACACACACAGTAAACTACAAATTCACAAGGACAGCTCCTACTCCAATCTTAGCTTTTTATACCTTCCTTCCCTGAGAGTGCAAAACCTGGCTCCCATTATTCTCAATATATTTGATTATTTGTTTAATCCTGTGTAGCCAATCCCCCCCTCCTCCCTCTAAGCTGTCTGCTGTCCCATTCAAAACCATCCCTGCCCAGGCCACCACTCACCCTGCTAGGGCCTTCTTACTGATGAAAGAAGAAGGAAGGAGGGAAGGAGGGAGGGAGGGAGGGAGGGAGGAAGGAAGGATGGGCTTAAACAATTGTTTTCAACTATTGCCCAAAAGTATAAAGACTGTGGTTGTTATTGTTTATGACTGTGATAACCACTACCGCATAATTGGTTTTACTGTCATTTAACAAGGACAAGGAAACAGTGGCCTCAGATTATCTAAATATTATATGTACATAATTAAGGGGAATGAATATACAAAAAATTGAAACTTACTCCTCTAGCAGCAAGTTCCATTTCAGTACTATCCCAGTGATCAGTTTGCTCTAAAAAATAGATCATTTCATCAAAAACATCTTCAAACTTCTTTGGATTCTGCAGAAGAAAACATACTTTAATCCTAAACTCAACTTTATAACAAGGCCCAAGCCTACAAAGTAAATGAGTTACTCTTCATGTATGTTTGTTAGATCTTTATTCTATTAAGTAACTGAATTAAAATACATTTTCAAGGTTATGTCATATTCACTTGGTTTAATATTTTGTTGTTCCAACATTAGTAAAATGTTGTAAGCAAACTGCTTACTAATCAAATATGTATGCCTATCTAGGTCAGTCCTTCAGATGAAAACTTGGTTACAGCAGATACTGTATGATGCTTTTGATGCAGTTCTATTCCTCTTGGAGGAACTCTAGGTGAAATCACTGGGTTTAATCTGTCACGGAAAGGTCAAGAAAGCAACGTAAGATTTACACCGGGAATTACAAGTAGTTAATATCACCTTACATTTATTTTGCACTTTAAAAAAATTTTGCTTTCCCACTTATCATTTAATTAATGATCATAAGAACCCTCTGACATAGTGTACCATAAATATAATTCTATTATACAAATGAGGTAACTGAGGTTCAAAAGGATTGGGTCAGAAAACCATGTGTTCAAATGGCTCAAGGAAGGCCTGTTTTACTTGATTTTTCTTCTCAACACCTGGACACACCTTACATAAAGGGAAGTGGTTCCTTACAGTCTTAATGAAGTTCTTATGATTGCTCTGCTTCATTCAGTCCCATGAATAAGAGTAAGAGGCAGCTCAATTTGTATTTCCAGATTTCTGAAATCTACACTATTTCCTGGAACCTCACTGAACAGGATTTGAGGGAGGTAAGTGAAGAGGTATTAGGAAATAATAGTGGTGGCTATAGTATCAGATCTAATGATGATCCCCATACGACATTCACAGACTTTACAGCAAGCTGGGAATAACATATGAGCAACAACTTGATCAAAATAGTGTAGACTTCATACACAGAAACTAAATCAACCCAAGTAGAAGTCAATGCTCTTTAGGTAATTTATTTTTAATATGTGAACCTTTGAAATGATCTACAAAAACTTTTACTTCTATTAAAAATTCAATGTATTTTAATGTAATGTATGGTAATCTCCAGCAATCAACAGTAAAAAACTTGCCACCAAATCAAGTTTACCTTTCGTGCTTTCACAATTAATGCTGATAAAATTTTCCTTCCACTCTCAGCAAGGAATATCCTGTTGGCTGTTTCTGAAAGTATTACCTGAAAAAATATCCAACCCCAAAGAGAAAAGAAACCTATAATTAATCTGAACGGACGTCTGACTCTATAGCACATCTACACATAAACGACCCTAATACAGTCAATGCATCGCATGCGGCACTATGTCCGCAGGTAGGCCACAGAGAAAAGCTGTCATTTACTAAGGTTTTAAAAAGAGCTCTTGAAACCTATAATCGTAAAAGATTAAAGGGAAATAAATATGAATTAAATTCTGTTCAATTTCATATTAGAAAGTCCAAAATAAATGTTATATAGTCCCCAAAACGTAGAAAAATAAAGATGTTAAGTGATCTTATTTCATTTTAGGAAATCAATGATTTTACAAGTGATTCAAATACAAAACAATCTAGAAAGCCTACTAATTGATAATAAGCGGATTTTTATTTTAAGCAGCCATCTCCAGCGTCAGAACACCCTGTTTGACAAAGTGTGGTGGACCTGGGAAGCCATGACAGAGGACAAAGACAAATGAAGGAACTAGCAGGCAGGAAAAATAAACTTAGTAGATTTTATAGTTGCCATTAAAAATAAGGATAATAAAGAGCAAAGAGCTGTCCTGTTTATATTCAGCTGGACTCTATAGCATGAGGGTGGGGATGAGTGGCTGGGTGAAGTCACTTAATGTTAAAAAAAATACCTGAAAAGCCTGTCGAATACAGTGAAGTTTGGCAAGAAAATCACTGTCTCCTAGGCACTCCAACATTTCAGTTCTATGTAACAAACAGGGAAGACAACTGTTAAACTGCATTCAAGATCAAGCCCACTACAAATTTGGATTCAAATAAGGCTTAACCTCAGGACCTTAATATAAAACACATGTCTTTTCAATAATGACAAAAATGTAAAAAAATTTTTGAGCCTAAAAGACATTTCCCCCCAATCTCATAAACATCTTTAATAAATATTATACCAACATAGCAACAGCACCTTAATATTTTTCATAAACAAAAGCACAACTGAAATGGTACCTAAGCACTCTTGAGTAAATTTTCCCTTCTTCAACTAAATGCATGGCTTCTTCATAAAAAGGGCAGTGGCAGAGAGACTCTAGACTGTAAGCATGTCGTCCTTCTCTGTGTTCTGCAAGCTAAGAATACAGTGGGTTACAACAGATTACACTGATGTAAGAAGAAAAACTTAGAAAATAGGATCTTGCTAACATCAAAACATACTCAATTTGAATGAACCATGAGAGACTATGGACTTTGAAAAACAAACTGAGGGTTCTGGGAGGGGGGGGATGGGTTAGCCTGGTGATGGGTATTAAAGAGGGCACGGACTGCATGGAGCACTGGGTGTTATACGCAAACAATGAATCATGGAACACTACATCAAAAACTAATGATGTGGGGCGCCTGGGTGGCTCAGTTGTTAAGTGTCTGCCTTCGGCTCGGGTCATGATGCCGGGGTTCTGGGATCGAGCCCCGCATCGGGCTCCCTGCTCCGCAGGAAGCCTGTTTCTCCCTCTCCCACTCCCCCTGCTTGTGTTCCCTCTCTCTCTGTGTCTCTCTCTGTCAAATAAATAAATAAAATCTTTAAAAAAAAAAAAAAACTAATGATGTAATGTATGGTGATTAACATAACATAATAATAAAAAAACTCAATTTGATTAAACCATAAAAATCATTCCGTAAGATTTTACAGCTACTGAGCTCTAACTTCACTTTATTTCAAAATTCAGTTGTAAAAATGAGTAAAACTTTGTAACAAGCTTTTGAATTCAACAGCTTAAATCCATAGGATACACAGAAAAGCAGTATCTTATAGTTCAATAAGAATAACTGAAGATGAAGCATTGAGGGAAAAAAAGGGAAGGATTTTATCATCCAAAGAATGCTTAAAAGTATTAGAACTCACAATTGCAAATGGAGTAAAACTTCCTACAAAAATACTGCAATCTCAGTTTGGCCAATTCTAAGGAATTTTTTCTCATAGCCAGCTCTGACTAACCTTTGTCTAACTGAAAAATAGTCATGCACCTCTGGCTAGCGTAACAACGCTACACATGAAATTCCAGTCTTCTGACAATTCATTAAAAAATAACAACTGCAAACACCATAGAGTAGCCAGCTAAGCAAGAAAGCTTTGGAGTGATTTTTATTTTTCAATACCAGATGATCCATTTAAATAGCACGCTGTAGGGGTTTTTGGTTTTTTTGTTAAGATTTTTTAAAATTTTTAAGTAATCGTTGCACTCAGTGTGGGGCTTGAACTCACAATCCCGAAATCAAGAGTTGCATGCTCTACCGACTGAGCCAGCCAGGTGCCCCTGCATTTTTTTTTTTTTAAGATTTTATTTATTTATTTGAGAGAGAGAGAACACCTGGGTGCATGTGCACACATGCACACTAGCATGCTGGCCTGCAAGCTGGAAGCAGGATGGGGAGGGAGCTGGGGCAGAGGGGGAGCGAGAGGGACAAGAAGACTCTGCACTGAGTGTGAGCCTGATGCAGGGCTCAGTCTCAGGACCTGGAGATCATGACCTGAGCTGAAATCAAGAGTTGGATGCTGAACCAACTGAGCCACCCAGGTGCCCCTGTTTTTTCTGTGGGGTTTTTTGGTTTATTTTTAATAAACATTTTATAAAATTTAAATTCAATTAATTAATATATAACGTATTACTGGTTTCAGAGGTATAGGTCTGTCATTCATCAGTCTTATATAATACCCAGTGCTCATTACATCACATACCCTCCCCAATGTCCATCACCCAGTTACCCCATCCCTCCACCCCCTTCCCCTCCAGCAACCCTAAGTTTGTTTCCTGTGATTAAGAGTCTCTTCCGGTTTGTCTCCCTCTCTGGTTTCATCTTGTTTCATTTTTTCCCTCTCTTCCCCTATGATCCTCTGCCTTGTTTCTTAAATTCCACATATCAGTGAGATCATATAATTGTCTTTCTCTGACTGACTTATTTCGTTTAGCGTAATACCCTCTTAGTTCCCTCCACGCCGTTGCAAATGGCAAGATTTCATTTTTTTGATGGCTGAGTAATATCTTTTTTTAAATAGCTTTATTGAGATATAATTCACATACTATAAAATTCATCCTTCTAAGCATACAATTCAGGGTTTTTTTTTAGCATATTCACAGGGTTTTGCAATTAGCACCAACTTTTAGTTCCAGAATATTTTTACCACTCCAACAGGAACCCCTTTACCCATCATCAGTCATCCCCATTTCCCCTTCTCTCTAGCCCCTGGAAACTAATCTACTCTCAGTCTCTGGAGTTTCCTACTTTGGAAACTTCATGTTTACAAACAGTAATGTGGCCTTTTGTGTCTGGTTTCTTTCACTTAGCATAGTGTTTTCAGGGTTCATCTATGATGTAGCTGGTATCAGTACTTCATTCTTTTTTATAAATCTATACCGAATTGTATAGATATGCCACTTTCTTTTTTTATCTATTCCTCAATTGATAGACATTTAGGTTGTTTCCACTTTTGTTATGAATAAGGCTACTTTGAACATTTGTGTAAAAGTTTTTAATATTTTCAATTCTCTTGAGTATATACCTAAAAGAGGAAGGGTCAGATGATTACTCTATGTTTAACATTTTTTTCTTAATTTTTAAATTTTTGTTTTGAGAGGGAGAGAGAGAGAGAGAATCTTAAGCAGGGTGTGGAGCGTGACGTGGGGCTCGATCTCCCAACCCTGAGATCATGACCTGAGCCAAAATCAAAGAGTTGATAAGCCACCCAAGCGCCCCACTGCCAAACTGTTTGGCAAAGAGGCTACACCATGCTCCACTCCCACTAGCGATGTACAGTGATTTAGATTTTTTCACACCCTCACCAATAATTATATATTTTTTAAAGACTTTTTATTTATTTGAGAGAGAGAGCACACAAGCATACAAGCGCACAAGCAGGGGGCGGGGGCAGAGGGAGAAGCAGACTCCCTGCTGAGCAAGGAGCAGAAGGGGCTCAATCCCAGGACCCTGAGATCATCACCTGAGCTAAAGGCAGACACTTAATGGACTGAGCCGCCCAGGTGCCCCTATTATTATCCATTCTTTACATTATAGCCACTCTATAATTAAAAACATTTTTCATCTCCTTACTGGCCTCTATATATCTTCTTTGGAGAAATGCTTATTCAAATCCTTCGCCCATTTTTTTTTTTAAGATTTTATTTATTTACTTGACAGAGAGAGACACAGCAAGAGAGGGAACACAAGCAGGGGGAGTGGGAGAGGGAGAAGCAGGCTTCCCGCGGAGCAGGGAGCCCGATGCGGGGCTTGATCCCAGGACCTGGGATCATGACCCGAGCCGAAGGCAGACGCTTAACGACTGAGCCACCCAGCCTTTGCCCATTTTTAAATTGGGATATTTGTCCATTTATTGTTGAGTTATAACCATTCATTATATATTCTGGATATGTGTCTTTATAAAACACATGATTTACCAATATTTCTCCCAATCTGCTGTTTTTTCACTTTCTTGTTGGTGTCCTTTGAACCACAAGTTTTTACTTCTGATAAATTCCAATTAATCATTTTTTCCCCCACTTTTCCGCCTTAACTTTCACTCCCTGCTCATGCAGAACATCAAGGTCAGCCAGAGGTGAGGGGTCAGGGACTTCTATAGTCTTTCCTGGATATATGCACAATCCTGCACATGCCTGTGGCCTTCTAGATTTCCAGGAATATGTTGGAACTTTTCAAAACTCTCTGTCAAAATCTCATTGCCCAATTTTTCCTTTTAAGTTTTTTGGTCAGCCTCTTATTAACCCTCACTGGTATCACCACCTCAGGTAGCTATAATGTTAAACAACTGCCACTGATTGTTTTCAACAAAGGCCACAGGAATAGGACTTTCCTTTGGAGCAAGCTCTAAATCAGATCAAATAAAGATTAAGTCCTGAGAATGGAACTTTACAGGGAGCTGCCATATAGGTCAAAATAGAATTTTGTGAAACTTCAAAATCATTAAGTTTCTTTTAGTGGTTGCCAGGCCTGGTTTTTGCAGTAACCACAGTTGTGAGATTTTTGGTTTTCAAGACTATGGAAGAGAGGTGGATGGGAAGAGATCAAGTTAAAAATCCACAAAGTTCACTGTTCTTAGGGAGATTCAGCCATTCTTCTTGAAATAAAAAGCCCTTTGAATTTCTGAAATGTCTTTGATTAACATTCAGAGTTCTTAAAATTTTGATTTTGACAATTCTTGCCAGTGTTTTCATTGCTTTTATGGAGGAGATTTTTGGAGATTGTTACTCTATCATTCTAGAAGTATTTCTCCATGCTGTAGTTTTGGCACTTCATATGCACCCAGTGCTGTGCTAAATGCATTAACTTGATAATTTGATTTCATCTTTACAACAATTCATAAAGTAGGTACTGTTATTATCCACATTTTTTTTTAG